ATAATTAATGAGAGTGAGAAAAGCCCAAGGGGAAGCACATGAAGGACTTGAGTACTTGATGGATCCTTCCGGACCGGAATCTTTTGCCATGTGTAGATGGAGACCTGGATAGATGAGTTCCTCAAAGGGAGACAAGACATTCTTTCCCCGCAGCTCTTGCCTAGAGACTGATGGTTGTGCCAAAGATGCCCTTTGGAAGTAACTGACTGACAAAAGAAATGAGGAGATAGGATGTCAATCAGTGTCAAAACCCAGTTAGATTGATCATGGTCTGTCTTCATAGCAAAACTTGCAGTACATATCTCAGTGGCAATACTTTATTTGTTTAATTACTTCTCAAACATCTTTACATTTTCTTTTTTTTGCAAATCCGCTTAGCTTTGTGAGGGAAGGGCCTGGGTTGGTTTTGTTTGCATTCTATACTAAGCATGTAGCTGGTGCATAGTAAATTTTTGCAGAATGAATGCTTTGCCTTCACTCATTCATAACAGAGATTCTTGAATGAATAAAAGTGAAGTAAATTGTTCTATTTATCTAAAATGTAAAGCACATAGGGACTTATGTTAGGAAGACAGTTTGGATCAATTTATGAGGGATTTGAGTATCTAGCTAAGACTCAGTACTCGTAGTACTGTGGCAAGTGACAGATTATTAATTAAAAGTTTTGAGTGGGTGAGTGACAATTTCAGCTTTGTTTTACAAAAATACATCTCTTTTAAAATTACTTGGGAATTAGAATTCATGAAGAAGAAGATTGTAAGTATGATCTGAGTCACATCATCGGTAGTTTAGCCCATTGCTTTTGAAGCAATCTCCAGGAAATTTCCCCTGCAACCTGCCTGTTCCTCCCACTTGGATTCCATGTAGAAGATGCAAAGGGTTGTGGTGGTAACATAGAGTGTGGGGTGGAAGAGGAGGAGGCAAGGAGTGGGGGCTTTGTAGCAAATTGGGCATAAATATGTGTCCATCCTTACCATGAATTAAAGATTTATTTTTCAATGTTTTCAGAAATATGCGAGTCATTTACAAACACATCTGAAGATTCTGTCATGGCTAGCAAGATGAGGCTATAACACTCAGGATTAGTCCATTGGCTGAGCTAAACTCAGTGATGCTACCATCAGAAATGGCTTAATTTTCTCCAGTCATTATCTCTAAGTGTTTCTCTTGACTCTTCTTTTTCCTGCCTTTGTGAACATCTTCACATTTGAAGCAAATTCCCACAGCTTTCTGGTCACTTCCAGATACTCAACTTTGTCCAGTCTAATTTAACACTCAAACATCTAGTTCAAAGATTCTCCCCTGCCCACTATGACCAGGAGCTCAGGAAAGGGAAATATTCTATGCCTTTTCATACTTCAGGTACTTTCACTCTTCTTTTTCCCCCCCTTTTTTTTCCTTCTGGAATGCAGTGGGAGACGGAGACTGCATGGAAGAAAAGGGTCAGAAATATTCCTACTTAGTTTGTGATATTTGAAGCTCAAAATTCTTGTTCTTTGGGATGTTTGTAGTCTTTTTGAAAGATCCAAAGAAGTTCCCTGATGTGAATAAAGCGCTCTGTAGGGGGAATTCTATAACTCCTTATAAGTCACTTCAACTCCTGTCCCCAGCGATCTACCCTTCAGCCATTTAATAATAGAGTCACCCCACCCTAACTAGCTTCTTACTGGCTGTCAGGGTCCCAGTAAGAAAATAGAAGCCTATCTTCCTTGGTATGTACTTAGTCCTTGGAAAATTCATTCATCCTTGTCATGACAATAAATACGTAAATAAATAAACAAGCATTATAGGCTTGCCCCACAGTTCCTCTTTCTTTGCTCCATTGTATAGAGCTGCTCCCTGCAATTACCTGCATTCAGTATTCCCCTCTCACAGAGTTTCCGGAAGGAAGCAAGTGCCAGTCTGTGTGTTCATATATGCCTCTCTGTTCTAGGAGTCAAATATCAATTTTACCCAAGACTTCTCTTAGTCTGCTTCATTTGGGTCTCTTAGTTGCCCTGGGACCCTTGATTCCACATCTTGCTAACAGCCCAGCTAGGGAGCGAGATGTTTTTGCATGCTTCATGAGATTACCCTTTCATCTGTATGACTGGTTCTCTAGGAACATCTTCCCACTGGCTTCAGCAAAAGAAAGGGGAGACACCCTCATCCTTCCTCCTATGGGAAAGGGGAAAGAAATGTCATCATGCTTTCCTCTAAGCTCACAACACAATGATGCAATAGGTTTCCTCCAAAGAACCCTAGTTTTTTCGCTTATATGTGCTGACTGGGGCATTGGTCTCTGGACCAGTCTTGCTGCCGTTTAGTAAGAGCTATGTGGATGTATTTGGCACCCCTCTTTAGTACTCAGCATTGCTTGTCTTCTATTGTTCTCAGTTTTAGTGCTTAATGGAAATTCCAAGACAATAGAAAATATACATTTAATTTCCTAGACTATACACAGCCCCCCATCCTGGTAACTCAGAGTTTAGAAATATACCATTATTACAAACTATAATATAGGCAAAGAATAGGGTGCTATGAGAAAGAGCAACATGGCACATGCCAGCCTGACCAGGCTTGGCTCATTTCTATGGACAAGGTCCTAGAAACTGTATCAGACTATTTTCCAGTAGAATTATCAGAGATCAGTGCTTTCTTAGGAGTATGTCGGTGATGACTAGAGCCATATATCCAGGAAGACTCCATGACTTCATTAATTCATTTATTAGTAGTTCCTGAGTGCTAACCATTTAATAGGTATCATATAAGTGCTAAAAATTAAAAAAAATAGGATTCTGTTCCTTTTCTCAAGACGTTTAAAGTCTCATTGGAGATATAGCTAAGTAAGAAATTACAATGTGCGGAGCTAAGCTGAGGATAAGCCCAGGAATGCTATGGGAGTATCACCGTCCCTAGCCTTGGGAGATCAGTGGGAGACATTCTGGGATATTGACTACTTAAGTGGTTTCCTGAAGGCTGAGGGGGTGTTGACAACATACAGAAATAAGAGGGAGGAAAGAGAAAGAATATTCTAGGTAGAAGTAGCATATTCAAAGACACAGAACTGAGTAGATTCCCATTCAAGGAATCTTTACCCACTGGAGTACCTCTAATAGGTTATCAGTGTGCAAAAAAATGGATGCTTCTTTCCTTGCAACAACTTCTGCTGTTTATCCCAGTGTGTCAGGATGTGAAAATGATGCAAAAGCCCTGGTCTAGAAACTAGAAAGAATATGATACCTTTACAAAATTGCACAAGTGTTGAAATATATGAAGGGTGGAAAGAGATGCTGGCCAAGTTTTGGTCTTACCCATCACACTCAAATACATACATAACAATATTGTCATCAGTATAACGTTCAAGCTAGCAAGATCAAAAACTATAGGAATGGGAATAACATTTATTGATGAGTGAATGTTACCAGCTTTCACTATCCCAACAAGATTTATGAAAAATTTTATTTTTGCTTCCCTTGTTCATCCACCTCACTGAATTTCAAGGAGAATTTGGTTGTGTATGCTTAGCTCCTGGACTCTCACCATTGTAGAATCAGGGAACAGGACTGGAGAGGCCAAAGAGAAGAGGAAAAAGAGCAGTTGATGAAAGCCGTGTTTTGAGGATATAAGAGAAAATAGAGTTTCATGTAGTTGTGGGGTATAAATTGAAACTGAGTAAATTTTCTTTAAGATTTGCAAGTACAAATTTTGGAATTGTCTTAAAAATTACTTTAGAATTTTTCTAAAATTAGACTTTTCATCAAATGTGAAACTGAGCAGGGTCTGGGCTGTATGAAGCATCAGGGTTTGTTAGGGGTGGGTGTGCTGCAGAAGCATGCTTATAAATGGGAAAGACGTTTAGTGCAATGTGGAAAATAATCTCTGGATTTGGAATGAGAATATATGATTCTTGCTTTTGATACTCAATTGTGGCATAATTTTTGATTAGGCCCTCTGATTCATCTGACTCCCTATCACCCCAATGTCCCTACAAATGAACGGGAATATAGTACCCAATCTACATACCACATTGGGTCGACATAAATAATAAATAAGACATGAAAGTGCTATAAAATTATAAGAAGTTATCCAGAGTTTCACAACAGCAATAATAAGTGACACTAATATTTTACAAATTGATACATAATACATGTACCTATTTTTGGGGTATTTTTGATAATTTGACACTGTTACATAATCAAATTAAGGTATTTGGGATATCTACCACCTTAAGTATTTATGTATTCTTTATGCTAACAACATCTGAATTATCTTCTAGCTATCTTGTTAATATTAACAAGAATATCTTTACAAATTTTTTTTGGTTTCCCATAAATTCATTTAATCAGAACTTCAGAGGGTTCTAGAAACCTGAATTTTTAACAAGGACTGCAGATGATTCCAGGTTTTAATTAAAAGTGTGGCTTGGGGAAGCAACTTTACTCTTTCTTGTGTGTCAGGTTACATATACAATAAAATAAAAAGTCATATAATGGAACAAAAAATTGCTTTATGCAAAATATGAGTAGATACCTAAATACAGTATGGTCTTAAAAATCAAATTATATATATATATAGTTGTATTTCTTTTTTTTTTTTGAGACACAGTCTCGCTCTGTTGCCAGGATCCAGGCTGGAGAGCAGTGGCACGGTCTAGGCTCACTGCAACCTCCACCTCCTGGGTTCAAGCAATTCTCCTGCCTCAGCCTTCCAAGTAGCTGGGACTACAGGTGCGTGCCACCATGCCCAGCTAATTTTTGTATTTTAATAGAGATGGGGTTTCACTATGTTGGCCAGGATGGTCTCAATCTCTTGATCTCGTGATCCGCCCACCTCGCCTCCCAAAGTGCTGGTATTATAGGTGTGAGCCACTGCACCCGGCTATAGTTGTATCTCTAAGTACAGTAGTGCCCCCTCATCCAAAGTTTCCCTTTCTGTGGTTTCAATCACCTGTAGTCAACCACATTGTAAAATAGGTGAATACTTTACAAGAACATATTTTGAGAGCAAGAGACACCAACCACATTCACATAACTTTTATTACAGTATGTTATAATTGTTCTATTTTATTATCATTAATCTCTTGCTATGCTTAATTTATACGTTACACTTTATCATAAGTATGTATATATAGAAAAAAACAGTGTATAAATGTTTGGTACTATCTGAGGTTTCAGAAGTCCACTGGGGGCCTTGGAATGTATCCCCCAAAGATAAAGGGGAACGACTGTATGAAAAATCAAAAGTTATACAACAATCAGAAACATTGAGAGAGCAAATTCAAGTATAAGTGAAGACATTCCTCTGAATTCCTAGGTTTCATCAAGCATCAAAAATGACCAATCTTTTAGTCCTTTTCTTGTACATTATTCTGTATCCACATTCTCGGCATCTGCTTGGATCCCTAGATTTTATTTCATTTTCTGGGTGACATTCTCCACAGATATATATCATTGGTTGCTGCGTTGGAGGTATAACGTCCTTGTGGGTGTTCATTGTCAGCCCGCAGCATGGGAAAACTTCTCATTCTGCATTTCCCTAATTTTTTAAACATTATAGAATTATACCCTTAGTGACTTGTAAGAAATGATAGTTGATGACGACAGTAAGAAGGGGATAACAAAAAGATGACCTCGGTCAAGCTTTAATGGCAATGGCTCTAATTTAGAGAAAACAAACTGCTCATTAGGAATGACTCTAAACTTAGCAGGAGTACAATGGAAACTCATCACGCTTTCTTTTTAACATTATTCTTATATGTCGAAGTTCTTATTGTTCTATCTGGAAATGCCACAGTTCAGTCCCTGTATTTTCTGGTTCTGTCATGCTGCAAAATCCTGTGATAGAGGGTTATCTAATAAATTATTTGACAGGAAGTATAGAAAAAAAGTCTTTGTAATTCACAGTTCTGACATAATGAAAAACTTATAATTCACTAGTGTGACCTCACAGCTGTGAATTACAAGTTTCACTTGACTTGTTCACAATTTGTCTTTGAATTTATACTATGAAAAGTGAGAACCATATTGTCAAACTGTCACTCCATATTGATATATTACTGCTGAAGATTAAGAAACATTTTGCCAAAGAGCAGGAAAATAAAAATACTCTTAAGGAAAATGGAATCTGATACAAATGTGAAAGAGAGTATGAAGAGAAAAATGCCTACAAAAAGGCAGCATGCAGTTTTGTATCTGCCCAGAGAATTTCTTTTAATTTCCCCATTCAATAACAGCAAGCTCCTATATAACACTCAATGTATGCTAGGCACTCTTCTAAGCATGTTAGATATAAACACTTTTAAAACACAAGATACCCCTAGAGGTAGGTACTATTTTTATTCTATCTTTATTTATAGATCCACAGAGAGGTGAATCAACTTGCCTAAGGTCACACAGCTAGTAAGTGGCAGAACCAGGATTCAAAATCAGGCCTCACGCCTCGGAGACCATACTCCTAAGCCTCTGCCACTTGGCCCTGTTAGGATGTTATTAAAGATAGAGTTGGCTGAGTCTATACCAATCTTGTATCCTTAACATCACTTTAAAAATCTCTTTGCTAGAATTTTTTTCTTGATAGTGTTACCTCAAAAGAGTGGAGGGCGAGAAAGAGAAACCATTTTACTTGTTTAGATCCATGATACATGGGGATCCTCTATACTGTACATATATCTAGTATTCTTTTCAACCTTTCATGACTCTTTAAATAAAATATGCAAAGCAGGTTGTCATTCTGATTGTACTTTTCCTTGAAACTTTATTTTAAATAATTCAAACTTACAGAAAAGTTTTAAGGGTAAATCTCAAAACTGTTGTATACATTTACCCAGATTTGTGAATTGTTTACATTTTGCCTCATTTCCCTGTGCACGTGTGCTCTCTCTCCCTCTTTCTTCCTCTGTATTCACAATTATTTGAAACTAAGAGGTAAAGTGCCTCCTTATTCCCTAAGATTTCAGTGTGTATTTTCTGAAAGCAAGAACTTTTCCTGACATAATCACAATTAAATGATCAAAAATAGGAGACTTCTCACTGATGCAGTGCTAATATCTAATCCATAGTCCATATCCAGATTTTGTCAGTTGTCTCAATAGTGCTCTTTATAGCTATTTTCTTCATTAGAGAGTTCTCCCCAGTTACTCATTTCCAAAATGACAAAAAGTCTAAATAGGGGAACAGATTAGGGATTGCTGGAGGTTAAGGGTGGTCTGGAATGAGGGAGGGGAGTGTGACCATAAAGGAGTAGCATGAATGAGAGCTGTGTGGGGATGGAGTGCTTCCACATTTTGATGACTGTGATGGTGGTTGCACAAATTCTATTATGTTAACAACTTTGAAAAGTTATCAATAGCTGGGTATAAAAGTAATGGATGAAGCCAGAACAAATAATGAACAGAATATCAATGCTGTGATGACTTCTCAGATGTAGTTAAATCGAGAGTCTCTCAGCTCAGAAGGCTCCCATAGAGTGTCTCAGGATGTTCATCAACTACACATCTTGTCTCTAGGAAGGCATCTGTCTTTTTCTACAGACTGCTCCAGCTTACTATGGTGTTCTTTCTTCCCATGTGTGTGCTGTTATCACTGCGATCTGTTGCCCAGCCATCTATCAGGTTGCCTCCCAGGACTAGAGGTGGTGATCTCTTTTAACTTCTCTTTAACCCATAGCATAGAGACTGCTTGGCTTTCTTGCTCCAGCCGCTGCACCTGTTCTGTTCTCCTATATATTTCAACAGCACCTGGCAGGTACCCTTCACCTCCACTTACAATATGCATCATTGTGTAGTTTAAAAATCAACCTGCTTTGGGCTCCAAATTGTTCATATATTTCAGTAAGAGTTCGTGTGGTTTGTACTGGCTTTTTATAGAAACTCTGTTCCATAATTCATATTTGAGTCCATAGATCAATGACTATGAATTATAGACACCATACTGTACCTCAAATTGCCCTTCCTCAAATTTCACTCTCTCCCCTTCCTAATCTATTCTCAAAATTATTGCCAATTATTAATTCAGTGGACACTTATGGAATGCTTTATCTTAACATTCAACTTTGATGGTAGTCTCTGAACAAAATTACAAACATCGGAGATGGAAATTTATAGTGTCATCTAATTTCTGCCTTTCTATTTCTATCTGTTACAGTGCTACTCTGGGGATTCTATTCTGCTGTGGACTAGGATTCCTTGCTTTTCCTTAAAGAAGCTTCACTTGCTCCTCCTTTTTTGCCTTGCTCAAGCTCTTCTATTACTCCAATTTCTCTTTCCTGAGCAGCTGTAAAATTCCACTCATCTCTGGTTTCTGACCCTCCTCACCCTGCTGGGTTCCAGCACCTGGTGCTTGGCCACCTTAGCCTCTTTCCTACTCACTTGCTGCTGGTGCCTACCTTGCTCAGCTCTAGAATTGAAAGAAGGGGAGAAAGGAGAAGAGAAGGGAAAAGGCAAGGGACACTGGAAACGGCTTTTGACAGAGCTTACTCAGACCAAGCCACAAACTCAGGGCCGTAATTCATAGTTCCCTTTTGTTTTCATGGTTATCCATTCTTGGAACGATTTGAATATTTAGTCAACATTTCAATATTCTGTGCCTTCCTCAGGGTACTGAAGAGACGTGTTCTTCGCAAACAGCTCTTCAATATGATACCACCAGGGTCCTCCAGTATATTTATAGCTTTGTAATTCACATGCATAGCTCTTCAAAAAATGTAAAAAGTAAATCCTTCTAACTTATAAGGAGTATGGAATCCAATCAGTTTTAGCAAGCTTTTCTGTATATTAATTATCATTTATTTGAATGCTGTTTGAAAAACCCATAAATCTATAAAAACTTACATTTTTTAACCTTGATCAAACATTATTTTTAAACACCTTTGCAGTTTGGAATTTTTCAATTCTTGGAACAAAGAACAAAATGTCATAGTGAAACTAATTTTTATGATGAAATGATGGTTATGATATAATTATTATAATTAATGCTAAAATCTAGCTGTAATTCAACATGTTTGACTGGAGTGCTTCTACAGTGACTCAGGTTATGACAGATTTACTCCTAGTAATGTGATGAGCTATGGCCGACGTTCTCGTGAGTGTATGTGATGTAACATTTATTATAACAATATCAGTCTATGGTGGTGAAGATTTTACACGGTGTGTTTTCTCCTAGGAAAGAATCTCAAAAAAATACACTATTTGGTATATCAACTTTTTTGTGTTTTTCATAACCAAGACTCCCTGAAAAGAGAACCAGCTGCAAAGAAGCCCTGACCTTTTAAGGAGAGTGCTACCAAAATCTAGATGGTGATGACTGACATTGTGCTTATCGCAATAGGAGGAAGAGCTGTTTTGCAAGTTCACCAGGCAAGAAATACAGCTGTGGTTCTTGTTATCAACAGAAGACAATACAGGCAGAATTCCATAGCTTCATTGCCTCGGTCTGGACATTAAGGCTCAACCTCTGTGTGAGACGTATAAATATCCTTTGGACTTTCTTCAGTAAGCACACACTGGAGGTTAATAATGTGGGGATGTTTGATTCCCTGCTGTTTTAAATAATTTCATGGAAAATCTAATGCAGTAGGACACTAGTTTAGAAAGGTTATTACCCTCATCAAATATTAGCACTTCTTTCCTATTATTTTCTACCAATTTCTTGCCCTTATAGCTCCTTTCCCTTCATTTGCTGCAAATGATTCTTCAAAATGACACTGTGGTTGGGTGGAGATGGGATTGGAGAAAGCCTAATCCCTAATCAGGGCCCTGTCAGTGCTGGTAGTAGTGTGCATCTTTCTTCCTTCTTCTGCTTGCTGGAGCTTAGATACAAGGCAGAGATGTGCAGTCTCTGGAGGAGTGTCATTGGAAACCAGTCCCTACCCCCTCACCGGGCCGTTCTACTTAGGACTCAGAGAACAGAATGGACAGGGAGCCTCCAGCCAGTTACAGCCTGCAACAGCCCATCCCAGATCTTGTAAATGACTTAGTGCTCTGATTTGCTAAATTCTTGAGTCATCATTGCCTCTGTGGGTGGCTGGAACTCACAACACAGTAAGAATGCTCTTGGACAGAGGCTCAGAGTAGAGTTTTCAGGGTTAAGGAATGTGAGGTTCTATGGACTGTGTGGTTCCACTCTTACAGAGTGTGAAAGAGACTGCCTGTTTATCCATTCTCCTCTTTTTCTGGTGGACACACAATTTGCCTCAGTGGTCATGTGCATTTGCCAGCCTAATTTGCAAATGGGCACCCTGTAAATAAGTTCTGACTAATGAGACATGAACAGAAGTTGTTTGGATAGAACTTCTGCATAAGATCCTTAAAACAGTGGGAAAACCCCAATTGGCAATTTCTTTTCTGGCTTTTGCCTTCCCTTTGGGGTGACCAACTGTCCAGGTTTGCCTGTGGTTTTACAGATATGAGTCTTTCATTCCTAAAATCCAGACAGTCCCAGGCAAACTGAATAAGTGGTCACCTTGCTTCTTCTTTTTCCAGCAGAATATAGGTGTGA